GCTCTGGTATGTAAGTGACCTGCTTTTCTGCTGTCATTGTTGCTCTGGTATGTAAGTATCAAAATTTTCTGCTGCCATTGTCGCTCTGGTATGTAATTCACCTGCTTTTCTGCTGCCATTGTCGCTCTGGTAGGTAAGTCACCTGCTTTTCTGCTGTCATTGTTGCTCTGGTATGTAAGTCGCCCGCTGTTCTGCTGTCATTGTTGCTCTGGTATGTAAGTATCAAAATTTTCTGCTGCCATTGTTGCTCTGGTATGTAAGTGACCTGCTTTTCTGCTGTCATTGTTGCTCTGGTATGTAAGTCACCCGCTGTTCTGCTGTCATTGTTGCTCTGGTATGTAAGTATCCCAATTTTCTGCTGCCATTGCCGCTCTGGTATGTAAGTCACCTGCTTTTCTGCTGTCATTGTTGCTCTGGTATGTAAGTCGCCCGCTGTTCTGCTGTCATTGTTGCTCTGGTATGTAAGTATCAAAATTTTCTGCTGCCATTGTTGCTCTGGTATGTAAGTGACCTGCTTTTCTGCTGTCATTGTTGCTCTGGTATGTGAGTCACCCGCTGTTCTGCTGTCATTGTTGCTCTGGTATGTAAGTATCAAAATTTTCTGCTGCCATTGTTGCTCTGGTATGTAAGTGACCTGCTTTTCTGCTGCCATTGTTGCTCTGGTATGTAAGTGACCTGATTTTCTGCTGTCATTGTTGCTCTGGTATGTAAGTATCAAAATTTTCTGCTGCCATTGTCGCTCTGGTATGTAATTCACCTGCTTTTCTGCTGCCATTGTCGCTCTGGTAGGTAAGTCACCTGCTTTTCTGCTGTCATTGTTGCTCTGGTATGTAAGTCGCCCGCTGTTCTGCTGTCATTGTTGCTCTGGTATGTAAGTATCAAAATTTTCTGCTGCCATTGTTGCTCTGGTATGTAAGTGACCTGCTTTTCTGCTGTCATTGTTGCTCTGGTATGTAAGTCACCCGCTGTTCTGCTGTCATTGTTGCTCTGGTATGTAAGTATCAAACTTTTCTGCTGCCATTGTTGCTCTGGTATGTAAGTATCCCAATTTTCTGCTGCCATTGTTGCTCTGGTATGTAAGTCACCTGCTTTTCTGCTGTCATTGTTGCTCTGGTAAGTAAGTCACCAGCTTTTCTGCTGCCATTGTTGATCTGGTATGTAAGTCACCCGCTTTTCTGCTGTCATTGTTGCTCTGGGATGTAAGTATCCCAATTTTCTGCTGTCATTGTTGCTCTCTAGTCGGTAAGTCACCCGCTTTTCTGTTGTGTTGGCATTGTTGCTCTGGTATAAGTATCCCGATTTTCTGCTGCCATGGTCACTCTGGTCTGTAGGTAAGTCGCTTTTCTGCTGTCATTATTGCTCTTGTATAAAAGGCACTCACTTGACTCTTATCATTGTTATTGGTCAGTAACATACCTTACTAGTACTGTATAAAAAATACCCCTAATAGCACTTGTAATAATATATTTACTTACAATTATACTGTTGACTCACTTGACGGTAAATATATACCTATAAAAGTGGTGATCGATTTTGATTGGACACTCCAATCATCATCAGACACCCAATAGGCCCCCGAATCCCCCTTTTAACTGGTACATATTCCATACCCCCCAGACCCCCCAAAAACGATCACAAGCTGCCATTTCTAGTGGCCCTGAGAAAAATATGATGCAAACCAATTAGCTCTCTGAGACATCCTAGTGATGATCCCTGCCATAGGCATACTGGCTTTTTTAATCAATTAAAACCGATGCAATCATGTAAGTTTCTTTAAAAATTATAATAAAAAATATCAATAAATAATAGGTATAACACCAATGTCTAATATTAATCTCTGGCCATATTTATTAGATAAAATCTTTTCAATAGATAACTAGTGGCTTTGCATTTGTTCTCCTTTTTTATGCACAAGCCTGGAACCTGAAACTGATCAATGACCTCGTATAAACTTCAAAGTTGATTTAATCGCATTAATTTTAAGAAATTTACCCTCAATGGTAAGTTTTTCCTTGTCCTGAATTTTCAGTTAGCCTAGGTAATAATAGGATAATAAAAGTGAAATTAGCAAAATCTGCATCAAAAGGAGATGTCACATGTCCAGTTTTCACAAAAGTTAAAAGTCAACTAAAACTTTTTTCAAGTTTAAAAAGTTGATTAATTTGAGTAAAGATAAATTACGCTTATATTTAAATCTGGAAAAAAGAATAAGTTATTTTATTTTCGAAAACCACAAAGGCATGGTATGGTAATTCTGCAGAACGTAGGACTTCTCAACTTTATCGTCAGCCTTAGAAGTAACTTACAAAACTTTGGCAAACCTGCACAGACAATGCATTTTACAGGAAATCCTAGCTGCTAAGACCCTGTAGGCATTTCATTAACCATCTTAACCAATTGATCGGCATTGGTTTAAGTATACGAGGCTAAATTCAAAACTCATCTATATGGCCCAATAAATTATCAACTAAGTTAATCAAAAACAAAACAACAAAGAACGCGAAAAGGTTTCCTTCTTCTTACTTTGTTACTTCTCCAATTTTACCGCCTTAAGTGCCGGTTGACCATTTACGAAAACTAAAATATCACTGAGCTAGTGAGCTACAGAATATACAACTGGAGGTAAGTTAGCGCTGAATGAGAAAATTGAGAGATTTTGGCTGCCACTGCCATATGTATAGGGGGAAAGAATACATATGGTCTTTTTTTGTACTAGGGGCAAAGAATATTTTACGGCCACGGCCACCTTTAACTCCAGGCAGTAAGTAGTGCATGTTGTTTAGCGCCAGACGTCCCATAAGATAACATGGCAGACAGGTGACACCGGCTCATTAATTCACGTACCTCTATCATCTATTTAAAATTATGAATATAAATTTATCAAAAGATTGAAAATGAAACATTTAGAATTGAAAAACAAAACAATATAAATTGAAAAAATATTTCTGTGCACATATAAAATGAAGTTAATATTTCATAACCCAGTAGCCAAGCGTTATTAATAAAAAATACACAAATACATATACATGTACCATTAGCTACCTCCTAACAAAACAGCTGTAATAACACTGATTGTTTTTTCCTTCCACCATGGATTGCGACGTTGCCACTTCGATGACCGCGGCCTGAAGTTAGAGGTGGCCATGGAACAGTACACTACTGTAGTACGTTAGAACTAGGGGCCAAATAGGGGGGTTGTGAGATTGTAACAAAGCATAACCTTCTCTGAAGGCTATGAATAAAGCCATAAGCCAATGAGTTGGTTGATTCTTTTAGTTGGTACCAACATAACAGAGTTTTACAGCGTGTCGATTTTCTAGCAGAGTTGGCATGCAAGTGCTTTTTTCAGTTTTATTACTAAATCATTGTAAAATACAAAACTGGCTATTAAAATTATTATAAGTATATATACCCGTTTCTGTGGTCTTCATCCAAAGTGTTGTTGCTTGCTTACAAACAATCATTGATTAAAATCTCCAAAAGGGAGACGTTCAAGAATACTACAACTCAGGAGATACAGCAGGAGTAGGGTTTAAGCCCTTGAAAACCAACATATTAAGTATGTGTGCTTTTAAAGTGCTTGTTAATCAATTAAAAAGTTTCTTATTAAAAGAAAAACTCACTAAGCAAATTTTCCTCTGATAGTAGTCCTCTAACTTAAGGCACTCACTAGTCTCCTCCTCTTGTCGCTGTTTTTGGTCAGTAACGAAGCTACAATCTACTGTCAGTGGTGGATCTAGAACAGTCCCAAGGGGGGGGGGGTGAACCGGGGGGTTTTGGTGAACTCCGAAAAATTGGTGTTAATCCAAAATGGCAGTTTTATACTATTTCTTTGTCCAAAGAGTTAGTGTGACAAATTATTTTACGCAATGTGTATGCACTACTGTATTACATGCAGTAAAAATATTTTATGAATGCCCAAGGGGGGGCGGTCAACCTCTTCGCCCTCCCCCCCTCTGGATCCACCACTGTCTGCTGCCATTCTTTCTGGTTTGGTAACGCACCTATTGCTCTGGTATCATTGTTTCTTGTTGGTAAAACACCTACTGGTCTGCTGTCATTGGTTCTGGTTGTTAAGGCAAGCCATTGTGTACTGTAAGGTCTGATATCATAATCGGCAAGGACGGCAAGCTACACCATTAGCTCGCTATTGGCATGTCTAGTAGCTTAAAACCACTGCCGCAGGTCTACTAACTACTTTCAATGTTTCTGAGCGTAGGGTAGATTACAACTGCTAGTCTGTTAAAATTGCCCTATATAGTTATAAGGTAAACAACTAGTCCAAGATTACTTAGGAAACACATACTGGTTACTTTCGATGTATCTGATCATAAAGATAGATCACTGGGCTGTTATCCTTGTGCCCAATCGGTAATAATGCTGGTGCTTATTTACCTAATCGTGTTCTTGTTATTGTGTTCCAGTCAATAAGGTAAAACCATGGTATGTTTCATTGTGGTACTCGGATCGTGGTATATACAACTGTTTCTAGTAGTCAAGTTGCAGCTTCGGTCTGTTTACAACGCCACTCTGAGGGTGTGTCGTGTTTGGACCATGCGTTTCCCTAATTACGAGGCTTTGTCACCGCTCAATGCTGCCAACTCAGCAGGAAATTGACCATTAGAATGGAGAATGTCCATTGTCCTCGCGTACTCCCGCTGGGTTAATATTGACTTGTATTTCGTTTGTTGCCAAATATGTTAAAAAAACAATCCTTTTTTATCGATTCTCGTTCAACTTTGAGTGTCTAAAGTGTAAAGTTTTCCCCGTACAGTAAGCCTTGCAGATTGATTAGATTAATCTTCAAATAGCAAACACCCGAATCAAGCAACATGACAGAACAATAATTAAACAATTCAATAGCCGATACAGTATACATATATATATATAAAGAATTTTTGTTTGAATATGGATTATTTTCAAGTAACTGAGAGGAGTAATTGGGAGTAAGTGGGAAAATCCTTTTAATATTTGACTTAAATGGTTTTGTTTCGTTACAGGAGAATCCTTCAACAACATGAATTGTACACCACCTGCGATGGATGACTTCCCCCACGATTTATTCACAGAAGAGCAAAGACGAAATGGAGCATTAGTTTTTCATATAGCTACTTCATTATATTTATTTTTGGGCCTCGCCATAGTGTGCGACAAGTACTTCGTTCCTGCCGTAGAAAGGATATGTAAAGGTGGGCGAAACATTTCAGACTCTACCTTAGCTTAAAACGCATTGAACATTTAATATAATTTCTGTTTAATAAAATTATTATAAATGTGTGTTTTATGGTCAAATAATCGACTAAACAAATTCCCTTATAGGTTAAAGAATAATTATTAGCATCCTGTTCAACTGAAATCAATTTTAATTTTTGGCAAGTGATCTTGCTGAGTGCAAAGGTATCTTAGTTATATTTTTATAACTAAGATACGTAACTAACTGTTATAGATAAGAGTTGTTTGGTCTATGATTTCATCTATTATTTTTTTACTACTCGAAAAAAATATAAGCTCTAGTCTGATTTATTTCATTGTAAACTAACTTCTGTTGTGATAATCAAAGTGTTCAAGTACACTAGGCACGCCCTAGATATTCCATAAAGCTATGTAGTAAAATCTACTTAACATTATTCATTTCGTGCGCGTTACAGTTCATAAAACCTTTGACTATTAATACAACATAAAAAAAACATAGACAAATCCTTTGACTATTAACACTTCTGTATCCAATAGTCAGTTATAATATTATATTATAATAAACTACACCCTTATTTTGCCCTTAGCTAGTAAATTGTTATCAGTATGGATGCTGCCACGGCCACCTTTAACTACATGCTGCAGAAAATTTTAATTTTTAGTTCTGATCGGTGCCACCATGATAGTTTTTTGTTTACAATTTATTCCTTTTTAGGCCTATTTCAGTTATTTAAAACCTCGTTTAAACGATCTAAACATAAACAATAATAATTGTCCCCCAGTTAAAATATATAATCAAACGGTAAAGCACAAATCATTAAATTAATCCTAAAATAGTAGAAACAAGATTTCGTCGCCACTAGCGCTCACTATCACCAAAATGAATGAGATGAAAAAATGAGCTTCAAATTTTACAATGGAATGAGAAATTTACTTGTGTTGCTTAGTCTATGCTAATATTCACATGAGATTCATTTATACCATCGCAAAAATAATTGACTAATTGTTCTTGGAAATAGTTATTTGTGCAACTAGTGAGAAAAGTGAGCAATTGACTCGCTCGAGAGAAATCCTTACTCACGAGCCGTAGGCGAGTGAGGAATGGTTTCGCGAGTGAGGCAATTGTACTTTGAACTCGAGTTGCACATTATACTTTTCCTACAGTTACCATAAAACAAATAAATTTGTGAAGAAACATAACCTATTTTTACACAGAAGTGAACTTTTAATATAACATTTAATGTGAAGTGACAAATACAACAGTACAACAGCTCACCAGCTGATTTACAGCCAGTGCTGCCAACGTATTTTGCGCGCATACGACGTTGCCTGCATGTTACGCGCTCACTATTTCGTGCCTTCACGTTGCAAATCTGGAGTGAGACAAAGTAATTTGAGTGAGACAATGTTAACATTGTCTCACTGATGAGCGAATTGGCCACTTTGCTTTCTCGAATCAGTGAGAGAACATGTACATTGTCAGGTAACTGTAGGAAAACGTAATTAATCGCACAAAAATAATAAAGTGACACGATAAAGTAGGAAAATATCATAGACTAACCATATGTTTTATCTATGAAAATATGCAGTAAATGCAAATACGTATTGTTTAATTTAGTATTCTATGGGTAATTCCCGGTTTCCTCCAATATTACTGTATAACTTGAAAAATGTATACGTTTTTAGCGTTTTTCGCACCTGTCCTGTAAATTATCTGTCGTCTGCCTTGGTTGGTGTTGGTGCTTTAGTTGACCGGTTTGTTGTTTGTTTGTTTTTGTTTATGTACTTCTTGTGATAGTAGCATTCGCTATTCGCTTCGCATTCAACGGAATTTGATAAAGTGGATACGCTGATATTTAATTTAACTTGTTTATTAAAATTATTAACAACTGTTTTGAATGAGATCTTCGACAGCTTAGTTAGTGAACTGCTCAAGTTTGGTTTTGTGGATGTCGTACGATACGTAAGAGTACCGGTAGTTGGCAGAAAAATAATACATTTTAAATATTTGTCTTTGTCATACATGATTCTCAATGTCTTTAAATGCTGGAAAACCTGTTATTTCGTACAACTGGTGTCAAACTTTAGAAATAGTAAAACTGGCTGTTGTTGTCAAGTCGTCAAAAATAGATAAAGTCAAGGTCCATTTTGGAGAAACATTTATAGACGTGAGGTTAAAATCAGCTCCTCTCACAAAGTATAGGTTGCAGCTGGGCCTATCACATCCCATAAATCCTAGTCAGAGCTCATACTCAGTTTTATCAGCGAAATTAGAAATTAGACTGAAGAAATGTAAACCTCTTTTATGGACAACACTTGAAGGTGAAATCAAGACTAACAATTTAAATAAGTGTGTTCAAAATTCACTTAAAGCATCGGCCTAGTTTAAACGATTTTACGCGCTTGGAAACGTTTAGCCTAAATTTTGTACTTTTATCTAGCAAAACCTTACCAATTAGGCCTTACTTATTACTATAAAGCTAAAGATTTTCTCTTCTTGAGTGAACGGCAAACTCGTAGGTAATTTAACCCGTTTAAATTCAATGAAAAATTCCAATTTACTCATAAAGATACCGCACTTTGTGACAACTAATGAAAAAAATATCCAAAAATATAAAAATTCTGTAGCCTATTTCAAACTCAATCAGCAACAGGTAAGTTTTCCATTATAGTTAACAACATTAACCTTAGTTTTGTGGATGATCACTTAAAGCATAGGTAGATAAAACATATTCCCTATCAGTTGTCCGGTGCACTGAAGAGGTCGGGTTTTGTTTCTTGTTAATTCAGTCATTTGAACTTCGTTTAACCAAATTAAACAATCAAATCATAAACTAACTTGCCCCCTAGTTAACCAAAAAGTAAAGCACAAATCATTAAATTAACTTTAAAATTATTGAAACAAAATTTCATCGAAAAACTAGCGATTAGTGTCACTGGACATGAACTAGACACGAAAAACGAGCTTCAAAATTTAGAATGGGATGAGAAGTCTACTTGTGTTGGTTAGTCTAATTAAGTAACTTAACACTGTATAGATTTTCTTGTATAACCGACATATACCTTAACTGAAGGAAATTACTAGCCAGGCATTGCTTCTATATCTGAAAAATTGCACTGCCATTAAAAAATAGTAGGTATACTTCACTACTTTTATAGTCCGGAATGTGACCTATTTTGAGGTAAACTTTAGTGGTCTGTGAACGAGGCGCAGGCAGATACATAACTATCAAGCCTTATCAAGCCTTGAAATGGGATTTTTGTCAATTCACTTTTAAAGCTTTTATAGCTCATCATGGCTACAGTTTATCAAAAGTCAGATGTTTAGACAATTCAATCAAAACGTAAGATGAATGCAAAATCACACCAATGCGCTTACGTTAATAACATTGCCCAAGACACAAAACAAATTAGTAAAAAACACAATCTTTTGATGTCCAAGGATATTAAATTACAGAGAAATCACATAGGCCTAAATCAAGTTTAAAATGAAGTAATAGCAAAGCCTAGTGTGCATTTGGAATGGTGTTAATAAAGAACTTTTTAATTTTGATTTGTAAAATTGTTTCTGTACAGTACTAATTTGCTTCCTATAAGCCTACAGTTGGAACACATTTTCTGTTATTCATCTCTCCTAATAAAAGATGTATTTCTGTTGAGTGGAACTGAACTTTGTTTGTTTGAGAAGAAGGAAAAACTAAGAAATTTACTTTTAAAAAGTGCTTTCCAAAGTAGCCAATAAACAGATTATTTACATTATGCGATGCCCCTTATTATGGTTACAAAATACGATCTTATTTAAAATTTAGTCTTCTTCATTTTCAGCACTCAACATGTCAAATGACGTTGCCGGAGCAACATTCATGGCAGCTGCAACCTCAGCGCCGGAACTATTCGTCAATGTTATCGGAACATTCATCACGGAAGGAGACATAGGAGTTGGTACAATAGTCGGAAGCGCAGTTTTCAACATCCTAGCTGTCGCAGCTTGCTGTGGAATTGGCTCCGGTATGGTAAGTTTGTTATATTTTGATTTGTAAATCATTAAATGTTTTTTTGAATGCCAACTAAACTTGGTTACAGTTTGCCTAGCGGTAATTTGGGGGGGGGGGGGGCATTGTTGCATTTTTAGATTTTTTTCGAGTTATGTTTTTTATTATCAACAAAATAAAAACCAAGTTTATTATAGACTTATTTTTTGTAGGCCAACTTTAGATCAATTATCTGTAGATTGTTTTCAACAAATGGTTTTATTATTCAATATTTATTCAGTATTATTTTATAGCCTGTATTTAAGTATCAAATGTACTATTTTTAAAAATCTGTTTTAAAATAATATTGACCATTTTCACAAGAATAAGTTAATATTTAAAAAGGATTGTGTTATATGAGAGTAATATCAGTACCTACCTCATATCTGATCACTACCTTTATCCGTGCCTGAGCGGTAAATGTCTCCCCAAGAGTTTGAATCCCGTCTTGGTCAGGTGTGCGTGCAACTCATGAATGATTCATCGATCTGCAGCATACCTGCCGTGGGGAAAGATTATATTAGTTTAGAATAGATTTGTATGACGCAAACACATGAGGATGCTTATTTTAACGCAAAATTAAGTGAACGATGAATGTTAAACGAATGAGATGACAGCTTTGTTACTGACTACGATCAGCTGATTCTTTTGTCAGGATCGATTTGTTAAAAGCTATGGTCAAGGATAGCTGGGTCAAGTTTTAAACCATTAAAGCTTACCTAAAATAAACTGTGAGCCGATGAAAGTTGCTGAGTTGATTCTGAGTTTTATTTGATATGTGGTATCCATGTCATTGGCATGTTTTACATTTTTAGCAAGTGATTTTACCTCTTTTCTCAAAGGGTTAACCTGTGTGTTGCCAGGTTGTGCCCTTGCACTGGTGGCCCCTGACGAGGGATTGCCTTGCGTACGGAGTCACTGTCATGATCCTCATTTGCATCATTCACGACGAGAGAGTGGAATGGTACGAAGCCATGGTTCTAGTTGCTCTCTACACTGTCTACATTGCAGGTAATTGTATTTATTAAATAAAAAGTCATTCTTATTTTCATGTTAGAAAAATGTTGTTACATTGATAAGACATATTTGTCTTAACTTCTTAAGTAAAAAGTTTAGATATATTTTGCTAATTACTGCATTTTAGTTACCATACCAATTTTTAGGTCTTTGTCGCGCCTAAACATTGATATGATCTGAATTGATAATTAGAGGATCTAATAATACAAGGAGGCTGCAATAAAGCTACCTTTGTACGCAAATTTTAATTTTTGTTTATGGTCTTTTACCTTTTTAAGGTGTAATTTACTGTTAAAAGTGGTGTCAAATGAAAACTCCTTATATTCTAAAAGTTTAAAAATGCACACCTTCAGGACTTTGATGATATAATTGGCTTTTATAGATCCCATCATAGTTAAATCGATTTAACATTTTGATAAAATGGTAGAATTACCTTATCCAACCACAGTTGCTAGTATGACAACTAGTTTCGTTCCTTAGAACATCGTCAGGTCATTGTATGCAACCACATCATCAATGTATTAATACATTGTGGTATGTCAAAAGATTCTTTAAAACACTGTCAGAATCACAATAGTAAAAACTAGTCATGTTGATCAAATTATTAAAATTGAACAAAATGTGATAAAACTGGTTAAAACTGTAAAGGCTGGCCAGCACTCTCTTCATCACTGTCACTGACTAAATAAAACTGACTGAATCATGAGGTGTCTTCATCTTCATCTCTCCAGTGCCACCTGTATTTCAGTTTGTTTTGTTCTTCTTATTTGATACTTCTTTGATTTGTAGCTTGTCAATATATGTATCAAATATAATATTTGACTGGAAGGAAGTCTGATCATTTAAAATGTTAAATGGGTCAAGTTTTTTAGCTTTGTAGATGGTGAATTCTTCTTTGACATCAAGCTTAAAACTTGTTTGGTAATACTTCAACTATTTCCATGTTCTTATCAATAGATGTGTAGTTGTGTGATTCTGATATTAAATGTTCGGCATAACTGGATAGCTGATGTTGTGATCTTTTAGGTATATGTTCTTTAAATCTTTGTTTGAAAGATCTTTCAGTTTGGCCGATGTAGTACTTTGGAAAGTCGTCACAGTTAATTCTATAAATGCCTGATTTTTCATAGTTGTTTGTGGCAACAGGCTTGGCGTGGAAAAACTTTTGGAGTGTATTGTTTACGGAATGTGCGAGAGTATTGTTAACATTTTGCTTTAAATGACTTGGGTACTTAGTTGAACCATCGACTTATTTGAGATATGACCAAGTAAACAAAACAAAAAGTGTTTAGTTTGTGTACTGAATGCTTTACAATAGATTGTAGATTAAAACCGTCAACCTTTTAACCATCACTCTGTTATCTTTCACCCGGCTACAGTACTTAGTTTTTTTTAAATGTGATTTTATTTCAATGTGAACATTGAACAAGTACAACATACAAAATAACGGTTTTGTATTAGGTGTACTCTTTTATGTATAAGTAATTTAATTAGGCTAATAACTAATATATAAAATAACATGAGTACCCTTTTTCCTTCTTTTTTTACTTTTATTTGTTTTCAAATTTAAATAAAAAATTTTATTATTCACTTGTACAGGGTTTAATTTCCTTTAAACTAAAACTTAAACGCTTTTTAAAATCAGATTACTGTATAGGTTTTTGACTGGATTTCTGTCATCCGTCTATTCGCTTAACTGTCACAATTGCGGTCCTGAGGTTGACGGTTAATAGAGGCTCTATTCTATTAAATAATAGTTTTTTTTTATTTGAAAACTTATGCTGCATAATATATTATCAACGCGACTGAATTTAAATCAACCATTAAATTGTTATTATTGCAATTTTTTTACTGAGCAGACTTCACTTTATAATTACAAAGACTTGTATACTCAGTTAAAAAAAAAATAGGCGGTTTTAGGAGAACAAATCCATCCCCTCCACTTGATCCTACCTTTAAAACAGTAGCTCAACAGCTGAGATTTGCCTGAACGTCACATACATTGAGTAAAAAAGTCGAAGGGAACTTCCTTTCAAACGGCCTAAATTTTGTGAACGGACTTTGACTCATACGCAAAATTTTTTATGCATTTCAATTTATGCACGGTTCAATTTATGCATGATTCTAATCTTGGCTCGTAAGTTAAAGTAATATGTTTACTTTTTCAGTCATGTATTGGGACAAATCTTTCCAGAAGTGTACCAGGAAAGGGTTGGGACATGCCTCCAAAAAGGAGAAAAAGGAAAAACTAGAAAAGGAAAAACAAGATTCTGTTGGTAAGCAACATTGTTTAAATTAAAGTAAATGACTTTTTAAGCTTGAGTTTACACTGTCTTGTACTCGGCACTAGAAAGTAGGTTGTTAAGCTAGAGTGTGAAGAATTTTTTTAACATCTCCTCTGTATTCCCCTGTACTTCTTAATGAAAACACCTGTTGTTGATAAAATTTGGAAAAAACAATTCACCACACATAAATTGTTGCAACAATGATTTGCCACAAATTAAACATTTTAAAATTGTGTTAAGCCCCGCCTTGTACTATTGTTCGGCAATTTATTATTTTTGCTGATTCCTCATATTTCTTTGCATAACCTTAAAGTAGTTGTGTGCATTAATTTATTAATTGTATTTTAATTTTGTATACTGTGGTGAAAAATAGCATTCGTACCACAGGACGAAAGTGTTTTGCAGCTCTCGATTGTTCTAAGTTCTCAACTTCTCAAACTTAAAAAATTATCTCGAGCCAGCAAAACCCCATTTTCGGCCCTAGGTTTCTTGAGTGGGTAAGAAGTTTGTTTTACCCTATGCATTTCTCCACCTGGTGTGGTATCTTCAAGGTTCTTCTTAATTCATCTCCTTATCGCTTACACTATAGTCTATATTTACAAAAATATTTGTAGATATAGGCGTTTGCTAGATTGACCCATCTGCAATACTAGTGACTACGGCGTGTAACAATATAGACTATATTGTAACAAGATGAATTTAGAAGACCCCTGAAGAAGCCACACTGGAGAAATGCATAGGGCAACACAAACATCTTACCTACTCAAAAACTACAGGATAATACAACAAACAGGATATCTACAATTTTACAAATTTTTGTTTGGAAGCTATTGTGTCTTGTGAGTCAGTTGGTAACAGTGCCGATGTTGCCAGAGGTAGCTGATGTGCAGTTGGCAGTGCCTAATCCCGACACCAACACTAACTCGCCACAGCAGAACGGGAATGTCGTGCGTCCTCCTAATCCTCCACCACCGGTCGACTCTCCTCCTACCGAAACTGGAGGTATGTTTATTATTTTAGTCCCTTATTTATAAATAAATAATTAAAATACAAAGACAAAACCTTTACAGTAAAAATTTGTGTGAATGAAAAGAAAAGCAGCTTCATGTTGGCCGCTTTTATGTAGACCTTAGGACTGTTTGTACTTGTAATCAAATCAAATGTATAATTTATGGGAAGTAATGTTTCATAGAAGTAATGTGTGAATTCTTTAAACAGTGACTTATATTGTTTCAATATTCAAAGCTTTAAGTAAATGGAAAACATACAACAAATTAAAAGGTGTTGTGACAGGAAATAAATAACCTTTTCAATAGCTTCTGTGTGTCATTGTTTTTCCAGATTAAATAAAAGACACGTTTTATCTTAGGCTACCAGAATGATGGTATGCTTTAATAATCGAACAGTTTGTATTGCTTAAAACTATTATTTTTCTTAAGTAAAGAATCCGGGTGTTTTTATCTTGGTTTATGAGTCATAATTATTGCACTACTAAATCTTTGTATCATTTCAGCCAGTTGGACACTACCTCCTTCGCTCCTTCTACTATCACAACATTGCTCAGATCTTTTCCCATCTCTTGGCCGAGCTATTACATCCTCAATAAGACAATTAGTAAAATGAAACGCTAAAACCTATGACACATTTTGCAGCTTGGAGCATTTTGAGTTTCCCTTACGGCAAGAGCTGGTTGAGAAAGGTGTCATGGGTGTTGGTGCTGCCGATACACGCTGTGTTCCTGGTCACCATACCGGACTGCGAACATCCTCGGTTCAAGAAATGGTTTCCTATCACGTTCCTCATGTGTATCATCTGGATTGGAGGTTTATCTTATGTTGTCGCTTGGATGATTACTGTTGTAGGTAAGTAAGTGAACCACATTTAGTTTTCTGATTTTTTTCTAGGCTTTAGCCCAGGATTGTTTTTTACATTACTTCAGGCTAGACCTAGGTGCTGCGGCATTATCACTTAGACTTAGATAAAATCCATTGGTGATTTGGCGGGATTGAACCGGGGACCTCAGGGACCAAAGTCCCGTGCTCTTCCACTAGATTAGCATGCTCCACAGTTTTTGGTATCAGCAGATTTAAGTAAACTGTCTTTAAACATTGCCATTTGCTCTTAAAATTCAAATTTTTTAGAAACTACAGTCTGTGCAAGCCTACTACTCCAATTAGGATCATGTAGTATGCATGTGTGACGGTGTTAGAAAGTGATGCTCTACAAATTTCTTTTACAAATTATTTTTATCACTTTCTTACAAAGGTGGATTTGATTTGCTCACTAAATGTACTTTGAAATCTAGAAGACTTTATTATGTTTCTGAGGTATATTTTGCGAACAGGTTTCAATAAACAGTACTCTCTCTATATTTTGTTTCTGTAATGATAATACTGTACAGCTCCAGATGATTGTGTTTTGAACTATGGTGCGAGAGGGTCGAGTTTGATTCCCAAAATATTCACAAACATTTAAGGGATTTGGACTGTTTTGTAAACCTAGTGTCTATTGTTATGGCTTACAAAAAAATATTTTTAAGTGACAGGGTAGAATTTTTGTCTACAATTGAAAACAAACTGAAGTCATCAATATCCATTTACTCTTCCATCAATTCATCCTATAGATCCTCTTTATACAAAGTTTTTTTGTGATTCTTGATTTTCTGTTCCACAGGCGACACACTGAAAATACCGGACTCAGTGATGGGAATCACATTCCTGGCAGCTGGTACGAGTGTTCCGGAAGCCGTCTCTAGTGTCATTGTCGCCAAACAGGGTGAGTTATTGATACACTGTTGACAAATTCCTAATTGGGCCAAGAGGGTGAGGGTTGCAATCATTGACCATGGTACAATACATCACCTTTAGGCACTGGGTGAAACAGTAGTTGATAACGTTAGATGAGTTTTTAATGTTTTGATGCTTTAAAACTTCCTGACTAACTATAATCATGTGTGATAAACAGTGGTGTTAGTTAAGTAGCTGTATGTACTTTTGTATACTGTTTTACCGTACAAATTTTTTGGAAGAAATTCATTTAAAAGGAGTACCATCAATTTTAATCCAAGCAATTTAACTCCCGACACAACTGACGTAGGAAATTTTGAGAACACACCCATATGTGTAGATTATAGACTTGTAGGGTTGACCATGATATGACTTCAATTAGGCTGGAAATCCGAACGTAAAAAATGTTATTTTCATCAACATCTAAGGATGGATTCACCTCTGCGGCTTTGTCAGTTTCTGTTTCAGTTATCCTTTGCAAGTTCAACTCAAAATTGTAAAGTTTTTTCTAAGTTCGTCAAATGTGTTAAATTCAATAAATTGCCTGATTTGTACAGGTGTGAGCGGGAGGGGGTTGCTAGTAATTTGATTATTTAGTGAGTCAGTAGCGTCACGGACTTCGGGCCAAAGGCAGCGATGTCGTGGGTTCGGATCCGGGTCGAAAACATTTTATCTGTACAGATCACCTTTGTACTATACCAGCTCCTCACTCCTTGCTTTGCTGTATACGATCAACGCACGGGCGGTTAGTCTATTTAGACGGGAAAATGCAAGGTTAAAAAAGGCTGCCAATGTCTAAAAAAATATATATATATATAAAAATATTCAAAGCCAAAGTGATTCAAAGTATGTTAAGTACTGTATTTAAAAATAAGCTGTATGTGCACTTAGTGGATTGACGGCTACCATTTAACCTTTTTTACTAACATCATCAGTATAGGAGGGAAAAGTGAATCCATAGCAATGAACAACCTCGTTTAAGGCAGGAGTGTTTATTTGTCAGGTCATGGATCCATGGGTATCAGCAACTCCCTGGGGTCCAACACGTTTGACATCTTGTTGTGTCTGGGTCTTCCCTGGCTGATTAAAGCCTCGTTCCTCCCTACATCCGCGGGTCACCACTTTGTCCGCATCAACTCCCGCGGGCTCGAGTACAGCGCCATCTCCCTGCTCTCTACGCTGCTGCTCCTCTACTGTGCCTTCGCCATCAACAGATTCAAGCTCGATCGTAAGGTATGTGGAAATGTTGCTGCTTACATGGAACCGTTTGACTAAAGATTGCTCTGTTGATTTTCTTGAACAGGGTGTTTAAAAGTTGCCAAGTCAAGGATTTACCTAAGGAATTATTGTGTAAGCATACAACCACTAACATAAAGCTTGAAACAAGTTTAATACATTTTAAACTATTTTTCTTTTAACTTTTATTGTGACTTGAATCAGTGGCCTAGTATATTATTAATGCACACACTGGAAAACATGTAACACATTTATTAAATAACTTAAAAGAAATATCCTTATTTTCTTGTGAACAATGATGAATGTAAACAGTAACATCAAAACATCTGTCTAAACCATTGTTTGAAATGACGTATCAAGTCAGATGTTGTCAATATATACTTAGGGATTTGACAACTTAACCCCTCAATGTGGTTTGAGGTGCTTAATATGTTACAGCGTTTTAAGGCGTCGCAGCCCTGATGTAACTTTTGTTCTGGCTGATGGTTAGTCTTTGGTTCAAAAGAGGTAATTTTTCAGTTTTTCTCTACTGAAATGTTTTTAAAGGTATTTTTTGAAGTGATTAGCAGCATTTTTTTAGCCTACTCTACTTTTTGTTTGAATTATTCCCCCATGTCATTCTTATCTACATTTAATTCCTGGACTAGGCCTAGCAGAATATACACTAACTCAATGGATTGTCTACAGGTGGGCTACGCTTGCCTCATGATGTACGGATTGTTTTTGGTTCTCGCAACGCTCATCGAGCTGAACGTTTTCTTCACCGTAAATCTTCCCACTTGTGGCAGATCGTGAGGGACAGTATTTGAAGACTCATCAAATTCATTCACTCATCAGTATCAAAGGCATACTGGAATTTCATTTAGTACATAATTTAGAGAGTAATTTAAGTTTTTAGAAAGTAATTTAATAATTTCAAAACTGTTCTCAAAGACTACGTTATTTTTCAAGTCTAAAACAAAGAATTATTGTTGCTGAATTCTTTTTTGGCTCGAGTAATGGTTATATCTATAATGTGTTAAATTCATTGGATAGAATGAACTCAAGTTGTTGGTAACATTGTGAAGTAAATACATATCGCATAAGCTGTTCAGGTTAATCATCCTCTCATGTACAAATATTTAACTTTTATATTGTATTGAAATATTCACTTTTTGTCAGTTTACACTTTATCAGAAATAGTTTTTGTAAGAATAGTGTTTAGAGTAGAATAAGCTCACATGTGTTATATTAGCATTTTTACCAGTTCAAACTCTAAATTTTTTGTCTGCGTGGATTATAAATCATTATAAACATACTTTAAAAAAAGTTTACCATAAAAATAATTGCTGTCATATGATTCTGTTTAAATTTCGCTTCCCTTAAAAACATAACTTGTGTGCTTTTTGATGCACCATATGCAATTATGGTGATCAAATTCGGGTTAGAGTTACATTAATATTAACTTAATTTTATTATACGAGTATCTACACTTAAGAGTTTCCATGACCCTGTGCAAAAAAATGTTTTAAAATTAAATAAATCATGGGTAGGCAGCAGTTGCTCAGGTCAATATTATCAATCTAATCCTAAACAATAAACATTTTAACTTTTTAATGTAAAAATGAATAAAAGGTTCTCCTGCGTCTGAAGCAATCAGTTTACACTATTAAACTTTAAGAATTTGTAAGCTTGTGTATAAACTTATAATTCTAATGTAAAATATAGTTGTAGTATTTTATAAATTTGTTTAAGAGTTTATAAAATAAATAGCTAGTCATAGAATGTGTTGTGTTTACACTCCTTTGGACTTTTCATGTTGCATTTCATATTTCATTGCTTTGGCATTGAACACTTGTAGACAGTTTAGCTGAATCCCATATTTTGGCAGTTTTACTTTGTTTATTTCATTGCTGATCAGCTGATAAATGCATTTTATCATTGTTGTCGATACAATTTAGTGTTGTTGGGAATTCTTTTTAGAATAAGACTTAACTTGGTGTTTTCACAAGCTTAGTATTGTTAAAACATAGCCTACATTAAAAGTAAATTATACGTTTTATGCCAAGAACTGATTGCAATTGAATTAAGTTTTTAGGCGAGATTCCAGTGCCTCAAAAATAAACTATACTAAAGATTAAAGTGTAAAGATAAGTAACAAAATACCGGACTCATTTTTCTTAATATGTGCATTATCAGTCTTGAACTTGAGTAGCGTTTTAGAGAAAAATATGTATTTTTGTTGAATTGGAAAATATCTAGGAAAATGCCCATTAACACTAAACCATGTAGGCCTACACAACAAGTCAGTTGTTAATGAAGCAGAGAAATCCGGGCCAAACTATGATCTTCTTGATCTGTAAAAACTGAATCTCTCTTGTAATTTAATTCGTGTTTATTAAAAAAACCTGTAAAAATACTTTATTCAAAAGTGCAAAACAACTTAACCTGCCTATAACTGACTTACTCCACAATACAAGGAATTCAACCAGTAACTGATGTTCCATACGCACGGTGAACCTGGAAAAAAGTGTCCTATAGTTGCAGGGTGTCGGCTGAAATAAAACAACAAGTTTCACGTAACAAAATATATTTAAACATTTATACACATCACGACCAAGTCTCCATCTGATACATCCCTCTATTCTCCAAGTCCGCAATGAATGCCTCGGCCTGAGCTGTGTCAAGCCCCGCCTCCTTCTCCACACAGGCCACTAGGGCGGCTCGTACAGCTGACGGCATGTTGTTAGCACTACCGGCCACGTACGTCCAACAGCCGCGGCTCAGCCAATTGTACACCAGGCAACTCTCTCTCTCTATCACATGCTGTACGTATCTGTGAAAAACAACATGTCTCAATCAATTAATAAAAAAAAAAATAAGAATAATGTTTGCAGGACATAAATTGACAAAACTTTGGAAGTCCTTATATTTATAATTCTACAAATAATGATTTCTAGGATTCTTACTAAAGTTTTTAAATATTGTAATTTACATGTTTACATTTTTTTTCCGAAATTGTTTATTGGTTTCTAGTTCTACATTTGAGTAGCTTCCTTAAAACTCTCATACAGCATGTTTTAATTGTTCAAACAAGGCATAACCAATTCTCCTTGTCCTGAGGTCAATAGCGAACTGCATGAGACATCTGGAGACAAACTATTCACTTTATACTACAAATTAAAATTCTACCCAACAGCCTTCCTTGAACAAAACTAATCTATTAAGTATATCAGCTCAAATTTCTATTTTTGGTCTCGATTTTGATGTGTTTTGTAGCTGAAAGCCTAAAGATGTAAACGAAAACGATACTTAGTTAATAACTTCCTCCCTCCAAGTCAAAATTTAGTTTAGCTGTATCAAGAGTAAACTTAGTAATGAACAAATTAATTCGAGGAAAACAAACATTACTTACGTTTTAAAACAGTCAAGGCTACAGATACAATGAAATATAATTTATGAAAAAGATTATCAACCACAATCGCAGAACTACAACTCACATTTTGTGTGCCTGGTCTCGGGAGAACGCTGTGAGCACAGTCAGTTTCCCCTGCGTCTCCAAAGCCTCCCACTCCTCAGCCATGTGATAGTCTGCGGCTCTGTTGCGGTTGCCGAACACCAGCAGTAGCGACTGAGCATCTGCTGAGCCTTCGGCCACTCTCTCTTGCACCAGACTACGGAACGGAGCTACTCCTGTTCCCGGACCCACCATAAGTAATGGAATGCTCTGCAACAATGATAACATTGAGATAAACAAATATTTTTTGGAAAACTATAATTAATCTCATTTGGGGGATTCGGTCCACAAGGTTCCAAGTTCAAACACCCAAGAATGGCTAGTACTAGACCAACGTAGCGTTTAAATAAATATTACACTAGTGTCATAGATTGTGAGGGAGGGACAAAAAATCTGAGAATGTAGCATAATGACCTGTGTAGCTTTTTTACTTACTAAGATAAGATTTTTCTTTTGCCAGGTGGTAAAAATTATTGGTGAAAGTAGCATTGGTGTGTCTAAATTTTGTTTTGTTCAGCTGTCAAATGGAGTAAACAACATAGTGCACAGAAAAACATGTTTGGAATCAACTACTTTGCAAACTTGAGGAATCAGCTACTCTGCAAATTAGGTAAAATGAACAAAATATCACCGAATAAACCAACCTTATCCTGAGGAAAGATGAAAGAGCCTTTTCTCACAGAGGTAAACAGACAATCTGACACTGAACGAGACGCAAGCCAGTTGGAGCAGAGTCCAAGTCTTGGTTTCACCAAAATGGTTTTATACTTCACTACAGCAAGCAGGATGTGCATCTCACCCTTGTGTGCCTTGAAATAAAACCATATACATTTCAACAAAACACCTTACAGATATCACAAAACTTTTATGAAAACTTCCTAAACCACATATTAAGCTGATAAGTGAGCTTAAGATTGATATGATGTTTGTACCAAAAATTAAAAATACTATACAAATAAATAGGGTTTCATGAGCTTTGACAACTGCGTAGGTTTTAGTTTTAAGATTAAAAATTTGTTGTTTTAACCATTACAAAACCAACATTTAAACACATTTTTTTGCTTACTTTCGGAGACGAAGCTATGGAAAACGACCGCTGTCTGATGGGCTGGAAGATGTCGAAGCAGTACGGGAGAGGCAGGTTTGCCGCGGCATGGGGGAAGTCAGACAGCACCTCCAGTAAAGTCCGGCGTGGGCGATTGCAATACTTGTACAACTCTTCCTGACCTTCAGAACTACTCAACTCTTCTAGCTTCTCTTTCTCCAGTTCCGATGTGGTGAACTGACGCAGCAGCTGGAAGGCGTACCTCTTGGGAACAGCCTAAAAGGTTAACACAGATTTACAATCTGTATATAAATTGATTATGTCAAAGTAGGCTAGATAACTTGTAGTGCATTCCGTACTCTTTCCTGTTTAGGTAAGACTGCTATCGTAACAAACATCCTTATATTCAAGAAGTTATTCAGCCTACTCACACTAAGGTCCCAGTACTGCTGGGCGCACTGTCGCAGTGTGAGTCTCGTCTGCAGTGGTGGCGGCACTGGCATGTCCTCATCCCTGGGAGACACCCTCAGTCTGGCCTCGGGTGACAGACCTCGGTCAGCCAGCATCTCCAGCAGCTGAGCTACAGACTCAGGAGAGTTCTGAGGCCTCACTGCCACCACATCACCAGGGGAGTACATCAGGCTGCTCTTCAACTTGACCAGTCTTACGTCCTGAACAAAAATGTGGTGAATTAACAGATACCAAAGCCTTAAATAATCCACGTACTTAGACTTGCACCTTCCTGAATGTTGCTTCTTCACTAGCCACTACCAGTGTGATAGTGACTCCTTACACCTAGAAGGTCTTAGTGCTAATATTCTTTTAGCCATTTTCTTTCTTAATGGACTGAGTAATGGCTTAAAAAGCTTATCAAGAGCGCAGACGTTTACTGTTTAGTGACCTAAACTGGTTCGCTGTAAGATATATTGTCAGGGTGCGGAGCATTGACTTCCACAACAGTGTGCACACCTGATACTCCGATGAGAAGATGAACTACACGGACCTGCAAGCCGACTGAGTGGATGAAAAAAAGATGTAAGAATTCAGCTAAAGGGATTGGCTAGAGTTGAAGCAGCCAATCGAGAAAAGAACAGCAAAAAACATGGCTGGAGTCCCAGATAAGAGATGAAATGACACGTTTATGTGGCTCCACCTTGGAATTTAGCCACTCCTGAAATCCCTTTGAATGCAGGTTTCTGCAGTAACATAAGCAGTAATTTTTCAGAAGCAATGGCAATTTTTAATTTTGGAGGATTTGAAGATGATGGTCCAGTCTAGCTTACAAAAATATTGCCAACCAGCATTACCTGACGGCTTACTACATCAGTGATAAAAAAATTATACTTGTGTCATTAAAAGTGTTTTTTCGGTCTACAATCAACAAGGTTCAACAGTAGTCTTATTTGCTTGGTAGTTTCAAAATTAACTTGATATTTGGCTAAAATACAGGTGTTAGTTATTTATTGACAAATACCTGGAAGTGCTCACAATGAGTGATCCGTTTGTTTGACAAGACTTCAGCTACTGTTGTGTCGTCTTCCCAGTTCAACAAAGCAGAACTGTCTTGCGTCGGTCCTTCGGAGGTGTCTATTTCAACATGCCATCTGAAAGAGATTGCCAGAGAATTTTTTACATAATATTTACTGAATATTAATAGAATAAGTTATTAGTATGTGTGCTATCTATTTGTATATATATATTTGTCAGTCAAAAAATATAAAATAACTTAGCAATTTACCAACCCAAAGACTTACCATTATCTTAGAAAGCGTGCTTGAGTTAATTGAATATTTAGTTCAATCATTGTATTGCATGCTAATTTAATTTTCCTGTAAATCCACAGTAGACCCTCTCGATTCAACAACTCTAGACCGAAACCTTGTCAAAACACAAGTATAAACCGTTCAACTTCTACTAAATCTTAATATTCAGCTACGCTTGATTATAATACTAATTGGATCTACCTTGAGAGAGGGAAACTATTAGTTCCGAGAGTCACATTTTTCGGCACAGGATACAAGTTGTTGAGAGTCATCCACAGTTCTGAGATCCAAGGATCAACTACGGCGTCTGCTCCCAAATCATGCTGGTCATCAGCCAAGCCGAGCTTACACAGAGGCCGTCCTCCGAGTCCTTCCAAACGACGGAACAACTTTTTGGCTACATGGTTAAATTTCACATATGAGGAGTCACCCAGACCAAGGACACCAAACCTACAAAGAAAACAAAACAACATCGTAAGATTTTTAACGTTGTTGTTTTCCATATATTATGATGCTTTACATGTTAAGAGTAAAATATGTAGAATTTGTTAACATTTTTTATATTGGACATATTTATGCGACAGAGGTTACGAGTAAAATAAAAACATTAAAAAAAACTGTACAGGAGACTGCCTTTTAATCAGACTACACTCGCAAGGACATCTATTTAACCGGACTATTTTTATCAGCAGATCAGTATACCCAGACTCATTCGGCAGAAGTACTAAAATGACTTTTGCAACAAGAAATTTCTTATTTCAGTAGGTAGACAAGTTTAACAAAACCTCACTTTACATACACAAACATTAAAAACAAAGATTATTGAGCAAAGGCAATAAAACCAAGCGGCAGAAATAAAACCGATGAGAATCTGCAATGAATCTGCTGTTCCCATCCACACAATAATTTGTTCCTACAGTCACCTGACAATGCGGGTTTCCTTGCACTGATTATAGAACAGAAAGTTGCTAACTGCTGCATTTACTTACTTTTGCATTCACTCTTTTTTTCTGCACTCCAGTAATCCAACCAAACAACACAAAACAGCGCGCTTCAGGCACGTAACATGTGTGCTTGAAAATAATTTGGCAACAGTTAAAGATACTACGACTACAATCAGCTGTTGCAGTGTTTCAAATTTCGTTCAACGCTCGGATTTAACCTAACCAAAAACGTGTTGTTTAGTGTTTGAAAGACTAATTATCATTTTGCTTTATAATAACTGTGGGAAAAATATAATGTGTAACACGAGTGGAAATTGCTCGAGAAACTTTCCACCCTCGCCAACGGCTTGTGCGTAAACATTTCTCTCATGTGCAGCAAAGTGCCACTTCTCCCACTAGTTATACAAATAACTATTTAGAAGGCCATTGTCTAGCCAAATCTTTTAAACCTAGGCCTACCTCAAGTTTCCTAATGAATCAGGTGGTAAGTTTTTTCTCAATAGAAATTTCCAAAACTTCTTCATGTTGTCTGGCTGCTCGCCTTGTCCAGTAGTGGAACAAACAAAAACCACAACATTCTCAAAAATGAGTTGTGGGATTTCATAGTCATCCAAAGCTCTGATTGGGCCGACAAAATGATTACTGCAAAGAAACAAAAAATAATAGCTTAAAAAACATTACTATAGAGAATATAATGCATTGTTGTAACAGACAACCAATTAATGCTGGTTATAAAAGGATGCATTGCACGACGTCCAAGTGCCACGACGTCCAATAATATTTATTCAGTGCCACGACGTCCAAAACATAATTTTTGAGTTGTTGCACGACGTCCAAGTGCCACGACGTCCAAAAGTACAGTAACTGCAAAAAATATAGTCTTTCTACAAGCTTTGGACGTCGTGGCACTTGGACGTCGTGAAACAGCGCACTAAGGAATTGTAAAAAAGTAACATTTGCACGACATCCAAAGTCACTGCCAGTTGCACGACGTCCAAGTGCCACGACGTCCAATAAATATTTGACTGTTGCACGACGTCCAATATAGCTCAGCGCTGTTGCACGACGTCCAAGCTCCTTCATGATGACCGGTTACGATGACCGGCTACTTGCCGAACAGTGTTCTCTCGTGTAAAATGCTTATGGAACCTTTATTAGTTATATATACATGGGTATATGTTCTTGTTCAGAAATATATATACTATGAATATTTGTACCATTAATTGAAACATCATAAAGTAAAAAAAAAACATAAATAGAAAAAATAAACAAGGCAACAGTTGGAAAACTTTAAGGTTGTGCCGATTTTTACACAATGGACAATGGCAATGGACAAGTCAGTCAAACATGACGTAACGCGGAAGGATACAACGACCGTTGGGAACCGGGCCGTGTGCAAAGCGTCTCGTCGTCGTCACTCGTGGCTCAGTAATCGCGTAGTCAACATGTGAAGTCGCGTTTTGTCGCTGGTGTAGGACGAATTTATTAATATCTTAATTCGTAGCTCGGAAATTAGCGTTCGGGCGGAAATTGTACGTGCATCAAACGATCGCAATTGTCAAAATTTCGCCGAATTGCATTTGGGTGTGTGTTTTATTAGTATTAAGTCGAGACAGTTGAGATGCCGGATTGATTGTTCGCGTTCGTGATGAAAATTCGTACATGCATCATATCGATAGCAAATGTCAGTTTCTAGCGAATCGCGGGTCGTCGTGAAGGTATTTTCAATTGATTCATTAAACGCCAGCTCGAAAAAAACAAGAATTAATAAGTCAATATCAATATTTTAATATGTTATTATTTGCAGTATTACAGTTTTACAAAGAAAACAATTCACATCACAATCTTTCATCTGAACTGATATTTCAATTCATAGAGTGTTCAAATAAACACATCTATTAGCTTTAAGAAGTGTTAGAATTAAGCTGAAGAAGGTGTGAAGGAGGACAACATATCAGACCTCTCACGGTCCATAAATCGGATTTCTGGGATATTTAATTACAGGGCCCACACTTAACATCTTTATTTCCACTGCGCAGCTCTGTGATTATAACGTCCTCAGTAGTCTGATTAAATAAAGTAAATTTCATTTTCAAACCCCACCAGGGGGCAACTTTTTGTTATACTCACACCTGTATGGAATACCTAAATTGCATTACATAAAGGTGTGAGGTGATTTTATTTGATGAAATGAAGTAACAAGTAAAGAGCTATTATCTTTTATTCTTTTTATTTTTCTTTACAAAAAGCTTGATGGAATGATCAATTAAGTAAAGAGTATATTTTGAATATAAGTGAAGGATTCTCTTCTTTTTTCTTTACAAAAAGCGATAGCACTAATTTGAGAGGTCTGGTAACAAGGAAGCAGATTGGCATTACTACCAAGGCAGGTTGGCATTGATAAGGGTATCAGTTGTTATCTCTAAGGCAATTATCCACATTGATATTTCTGTGTTTGTTTACTTGTTTATTTATTTGTGTCATATTCGTACAGAGATTATTTATATTTATATTTACATTTATATTTACATGTGCAATAGTTTTCAATTTTGAGTAAATAGAGTCAAACTGAGGTCAATTGTTTTAAACATTTTCATAATTACATATTTTGAGAAACAATGAATCATCTGAGTCATGTTATGTAACCACTGTGAGCGACATGAAGGCTGGCCAACAGAGGTCACGTTCCAGCTGTGGTGGGGCGAGAGTAGAACCTACCCGCACAGACAGGCAGACATCGGGCCGTTCACCACAACAATGTCCCCCGCCCCCGCCCACTCCATCGGCAACAGCTGACTGTCGACTGCGCTACGGGTCAATGAACTGATTGTTGACATCTACTCAACGCTGAATGCTAGATAATTCTACAGTGTGTTAAGCGTGCGCGTTTACACCATTCAAATTGTTGATGGGTTGATGCAGTCTGGTTTATGATGCAAGGTGTCAGTTGACAACAATTTTTAATTTCTCAAATACCGACCTCAAAGCAAAATTTTTATAATTGTTAAAGTTTCAGAGTTTATATTTTTGTTATTCAAATTTCAAATGTTTATGTGTAAAATTGTTTCGTGTTAAATGTATTAAATGTAAATCAATGGAAAAATTAACAAAAAAATGTGTCGTATGAATGAAGCGTCTGTTGCCACGTCAAGCGTCGTCGCGCCGGGTCGAAATTGTCCCGGGATGGAAAAGGCCTTCGTGCGGACCTGAAGGTCGCTCGGGCCAATTTTTTTGGCAGGGGAGATTTCTGTGCCGATTTTTAAATCAAAAGATTTAAAATCCGCGACAGGCAATGGACAAGTCAGTCAAACATGACGTAACGCGGAAGGATACAACGACCGTTGGGAACCGGGCCGTGTGCAAAGCGTCTCGTCGTCGTCACTCGTGGCTCAGTAATCGCGTAGTCAACATGTGAAGTCGCGTTTTGTCGCTGGTGTAGGACGAATTTATTAATATCTTAATTCGTAGCTCGGAAATTAGCGTTCGGGCGGAAATTGTACGTGCATCAAACGATCGCAATTGTCAAAATTTCGCCGAATTGCATTTGGGTGTGTGTTTTATTAGTATTAAGTCGAGACAGTTGAGATGCCGGATTGATTGTTCGCGTTCGTGATGAAAATTCGTACATGCATCATATCGATAGCAAATGTCAGTTTCTAGCGAATCGCGGGTCGTCGTGAAGGTATTTTCAATTGATTCATTAAACGCCAGCTCGAAAAAAACAAGAATTAATAAGTCCTACACCAGAAAAAACCGTGTCGTGATATTCCGCTCGGTCAGACAAAAAGTCAAAATTACCACGAGTCAGTTTTTAAATGTTCGGTACGCGTGAATCTTCGTCGGAATGAATGTGTATGTGTCGACATGTGTACGTAAGTAAATGTTTGTGTTATTTGTGTTTTAGTATTAAAATAGTCTTGCCAATCTGCCACATTTTTTCACATGTACCACTCGTTTTACAAGTTACGAATCATGTTTTGTTTGGTCTGAGATTTTCATGTTTCATTTGGTCTACTTAGAGCACATGGTCACGATTCAGGATAAAATGTTTTATTAAATTTGGTCATGTCATACAAAGAATTTAAGTTATAATAGTGAACCTAGTCAAATGAAAATTATTTATTAAATTGAATTGAAATGGTATATTAATTTAAAGAGCAATGTTTATCTGTGATATTATTATTTTTGTATTCTATGTAAAGTCAGATTCTATCATCATCAGTATTATTATTTAAAACGTTTGAATTTCATGTGTAGAATAATTTTTGAACAGTATTACATTTTTTTTAATAGTGAGAGTTTGATTGTGTAACGTAAATGGGGGTAACAGAGTGCTCGGTCGAAGGCTAGGGTTGATAAAGGGTCACGAGGATAGACTCCCATTAAATTCATAAATATTAAATACTAAATAAAAATTATCAAATAATCGACTCAGCAGTCGATTGGCCCCGTTGCACTGATCAGCAAGGAGTGATGTAGATCACAAACCTACATAATAGTCCCTGTTTGATTAAATTGTAAACTGGCCAGTTTGATAATTACGAACATCTTTGGGGAGTCTGGTGATCCAAAACAAATAAATAAAATCATCAAGGCTAGGTTTTCCCGAGACTCTGCAGTTTTAGAATGTGGCAAACCACCAAATTTAACTTGCAATCAACTCTCTCGCTCTCTCTTTCAAAATATTATTAAATTGTGCACAAAAAAGATTATTACATTGTTTATATCTGTTACTTGTATCACAGCTCAATTCAACTCATTACATAGCATTTTTACAAATCATCATCTTATCATTATCCTGTGTTTTGTATTATATTATTAATATTATACTGGTAAATTTAAGAGTATTGGTTTAACTGAAGAAGTATACAAAGTATACACAATGAGTGTTGATGATCACATATTTTAATATCAAGTTGGTGAATTCATGAATAATCGGCTTAACCGAAATCCAGTGTATACAAACATCTTGAAGTCATACTTTGATAAATAGTTTCTGAACAAACAGTTTCATAAATATATTCAATCAATATTTTAATATGTTATTATTTGCAGTATTACAGTTTTACAAAGAAAACAATTCACATCACAATCTTTCATCTGAACTGATATTTCAATTCATAGAGTGTTCAAATAAACACATCTATTAGCTTTAAGAAGTGTTAGAATTAAGCTGAAGAAGGTGTGAAGGAGGACAACATATCAGACCTCTCACGGTCCATAAATCGGATTTCTGGGATATTTAATTACAGGGCCCACACTTAACATCTTTATTTCCACTGCGCAGCTCTGTGATTATAACGTCCTCAGTAGTCTGATTAAATAAAGTAAATTTCATTTTCAAACCCCACCAGGGGGCAACTTTTTGTTATACTCACACCTGTATGGAATACCTAAATTGCATTACATAAAGGTGTGAGGTGATTTTATTTGATGAAATGAAGTAACAAGTAAAGAGCTATTATCTTTTATTCTTTTTATTTTTCTTTACAAAAAGCTTGATGGAATGATCAATTAAGTAAAGAGTATATTTTGAATATAAGTGAAGGATTCTCTTCTTTTTTCTTTACAAGGTTTACATGGTTTGAAAAATGATGAAATTTTGTTAACAACCGATAAACTTCATTATGTTTGGAGTAAGC